TGGGAATCACGAAGCAAATTGGTGAATAGGTACTACAATAGTATAATTTCTTATGCCGTGTGGTTTGCTTTATTCTGTTCAAATTTTATAAAAATGATACTTTGTCACCATATGGAGACATTGAATAAACGAAATAAACACATCAAGTAAGCGTAAGCACACACGAATACATATATATTTTCTTCACGCCAATGTTGAAGACCCTCATGTGAGGTGATCTTAAAATGAAAGAAATCATAACTTTAGGATTCACGTCTTTACATTTGTAATTTTGCCTTATCATCGTCGATTCATTTCTTTCGAAAGAGATAATTTTTTCCCCTTCTTGTGATCTTAATTTCATTTTTTTCCCATACAGATTGTTTTACTGCAAAGGATGTAATATACATGTAGCAAGTCTTTCGTACATGTAATGATCTACTTCTTAGTACATGCAAATAGTTCATATAACAGTTAATCATGAAATAGCTCTTTAATTTTAACTTAAACTCATCAATAAATGTTACTACTTGTTTTGATTCCCATTCCACATAAACCTTATTAAGAGAATATATTGTCCCACAACTAACTGAATTACAAGGATTTCAAATAAGGAAATACCTACTCTTTTTATTCTTTATTTTTTTTATTTAATTTGATTTTATATATGGTCAACAAGGAAATAAATAAAATGTTTGATTCATGTTTGATAATTCACATTAAAATTTCTCAACAACAAAAAAAAGAAGATGAATTACATGCATTGTTTGTATATAAATCGAGCAATATGTATTTCTATAAACGTGGTTACTTTTTTGTGTGAAATAATTATTTAGTTAGTTAGGGTCTAGACTTTAAAAAAAAATTAAAAGATGGTTTATAGATATTAACTACAATAATTAATTTGTGGGTTTGAGTTATAATTATAAAAAAAAAAAAAAAATTAGTTATTGGATGCTTGAGTGATAAACAAGATTGAGATTAACGATCACGGGATTTCTATGATTGATCTAAATTTATTTTATTAGAAAACAATTATTTAAAAAAAAACTAAATTTTTTATTTCACTCTCATTAATGAATAACATGTATAATTTTTGTAATTTTAACCAAGTTCTCTGCTGATTTGATTAATGCTCTAATAAAAAAAGATGAAAATGTAATCAAACATTTATGAGTGGGGAATACCTTCAGCTTACATAAATCAAACCTCGTAATATATTCATGTGCATAAATTACTCTCTTTTTTAAGTTTTTTTTTTTTCTTCCTTCTCTTTTTATTTCCAAGAACGCTCGTTAGTGTCAAACCCTTAATGAATAACATTAAGGGTTTTTAACTCTTTCAAATCTCCAGTTCCCAGCAAACGGGATCGGATTCTGAATTTAAGATCCTAAAGCGTTCATGAGAAATTTTTTTATTCCTAGAAATCATGATATTTAGGAATATATTGAGAAAAAAAATTTCTTAGAAATATTATTAAAAAACTGTAAGGTAGGTAAAACTATTGCTAGGGATGTTGGCTCAAATTTTTTGATTTTATATTTGGTTGATTGTCAATGATTCCTACAAATGTGAACTGATTTTACAAAACTAACATTTGATAAATTTTTGAAGAAAAAAAAAGCATAAACACTACTAGAAAATATATTTTTTTTCGACGGAAAAATTCCGTCAAAAATGATGTTTTATTTGGTCCTCAGCAAATTTCATGATGCCCATTTTAGTCCCTAACAAATAAAAAGGCTATTCGTGGTCCCTAAGAAATTCAAAATGGACCAATTTAGTTGAAATCGTAGTTCCTCACAAATTCAAAAAAGACCTATATTAGTCCCTCAAAGGACTAAAATGGATCCACTTTGAATTTCTTAGGTACCACGAATAGCCTTTTTATTTGCTAGGGACTAAAGCGAACATCGTAAAATTTGCTGAGGACCGAAAAGGGAATTTACTAAAAAAAATATGATATACCTCATTGTATATATGGTCATGCTAATTCTAATATTATGGAAGATCTTCATAAATGTTAGAGATATATAAAATCATTAATGTAGCATCACCCAATAACTTAAATTTTTGGGTTGAATTAATTTTTTACATAGTATCAGAGTCTCGTTGTCCCAGGTTTAATCTTCACTGCCACCCATTTTCTTTGTGGAATTTCTTGCACAGGTAAGCTGGCTCTGATGCATCATTCACCTTTTTCAAGCTCAATGGGCTCTCTTGTGAAGGGTCGTGTTAGAGATATATAAAATCATTAATGTAGCCTCACCCAACAACTTAAAATTTTGAGTTTAATTGATTCTTTACAATAAATACAACACAAGATTATCTTGTTTTTTCGAAAGTGTTCTTAGATAGAGTCAGGCATGCACCTCTATCATTTAACTCGCAACACTAGATAGAAATACTTTAAAAGGATATATATATATATATATAATGGGAAAAACATCTATCATTTTAAATTTTAACCGTTGATTTCCGTCCATCAACGGTTATAATTTATTGGGTCAAATTTAATGTGCCAAATTTATTATTAATTAATTAACAATTTTGATCCAATAAATTATAACCGTTGATGGACAGAAATCAACAGTTAAAATCTAAAATGATATAAATTTCTATCCTTTAAAATGACATATGTTATTCTCGTATATACTTAGTACCAGATTTGTTGTCCAAAAAGAAGAGGTCTTTCAGATATTTAAAAACTAAAAAACAAAAAGTAACAGTTATTTAGTTCAATTTTATACACTGATGAATTCTAAATTTGATTTGTCCACTATCTGGACGTGGACCGTGGTTAGGGCGTCACTTTTCCAATTTGTGAATCACACCAATACATTAACCACCCACTTCCACCTTTGAATTTGTCCCTTTTTTAAATATGATTTAGCTTTTTCTTTGTTGGAAAAATAAGAATTGAAATGTTTAAGGCGAGGGCAGGATGTTTTTAATTCGAGAAAGAAAGAAAAAAAACTGTCAGCTTCAATGGGAATTTCTCGTGAGAATACAACTTGTCTATTAATAAGGAACTCTTAAATTTAAACCTAAATTATTCAAGGTTCTACAGAGAATGGATATAAGTTATTTCTGATAAGTACAAAACGACGTTGTTTTGGGACGGAAATCAAAGTATTTTTGTACTTATAATATATAGTAGGGTTATATTAGTCCTTATCATTATAAATTTTTAATCTTATAATCAAAAACGATGTCGTTTTAAGCTCACTGGAAATAACTTTATGTGACTGGAAAAATACTTTTTTATTATTATTTAATTATCATAAATAATTGGTCCATCGGGTGAATCAAACTCTCATAAAAAATTCTAATGTAACATTAATTACCAAAAACCTCAAGTAAATTACCTGTTCCCACAAAAATTAATTCTTTCTTTTTATAAAATATTTTGGTAATATTTTTAATTTTTTTTAATAAGAGAAAGGTTATACTTACAATCTTATTTTTTAATTTTGTTTATAACCTCTTACAACTATATTTTAACACCTTTGATTTTCGTCAATCAACGATTATTATTTTTTCAAATTAAACTCATTAATTAATTATTAATTCACAATAAATGATAACAGTTGATTGACGAAAATCAACGAGTTAAGATATGGTTGTAAGGAGTTGTAAACGAAAATAGGTTGTAAGTATAATCTTCCTATTTTAATAATATTTACTGGTTAGTATTGATAATTGTTGTATAAAAATTTATCCATGTGCCTTGTACTTGTGTATAGATGTATGATATTTATCTAAAAGTATATAAATATTATATTTTTAAATAATATATTATTAATTATAATGAGTCATGATATTTGTAAAGAAGGTAAAACTAATATACAAACAAACTTTGGAAGCACATGACAAACTACGTTTGGATATCAAAAGCAAATATTTTTTGCCCTATTTGTAATTAGCGATGGTTAAAAATGGTTCTCTTGAAATTCTTATTATTAAGAGAAAAGAAGATATGAGCATTCCCATCCGTCTCCCATTGATTGAGGCAGTGATAGTGGACGACATTGTCGTAAAGGTTTTTATTAATGCAACATTGTTGACGTTCACAACACTCAAGTTAACCACCGTTTCCCATCTCTTGAATCCTTTCCAGAAAGCCCATTCCCATCAACCAGTTTCGAATTTGGATGCAATAATAAAAGGTTTTTATTAAGAGGTAGGATCCTTTGACATCAGTGTCAAACTTAAAGTTTGACACCTCATCTTAGAACCGTTAGATCAAAAAAGATCAACGACTCTGATTTGTAAGCATATGACATCATCGATCTTTTTTGATCTAACGGTTCTAAGATGAGGTGTCAAACTTTAAGTTTGACACTGGTGTCAAAGGATCTGCCTCTTTTATTAATGTTATGTAACATAATGTAACTGTTGTTTCCAACTCTCACATCAAAAGAGAGAGAAAATGAAATGATGGAAGAGAAAGAAAAATATGTGGACTTCACCTCTTTAATGTGTGTGTAGAAAAGTGAAGTTATATTATGTTAAATGATAAATATAAAACTCATAATCAAATCCCAAAAAATATGAAAAAAACGACCCCAATAACTTTCCTTCCTAAAACGCCCTCAGACTTAACCCTCTCTACTTGATTTTCCTACCTACCAAACGCCTAAAAAAACACGAGCCGAACCGAGCTGAATAAAGCACCAAAACCGTGATTGACTAGGCAAGTGGGGCCCTCGCCAACTGACCCGGACTCCAACTTCTAATTCAACTCAATTTAATAATTAAAAAAGGAAAAAGCAGCCACCAATTTCTTTCTAAACAAAAATAGAAAGAAAAGAATTGAGAAACCTGTGAAAACCAAAAACCAAAAAGCAAATCAAATCAATGTGTGATGGGCTAAGTATTCGGTCCCACGCGCCTGCATCGTCAGCATCATTACACCGTACAATCTCTCTCTCTCTCTCTTCTTAGTTCTTTCTCTCTCCATTGTCCCCCCTTATATATAAAGCCTCTCAGATCTCTTTGCCACCACAACGCACCGTGTCAACTCTCGTTGAAACACAAGCAAATTAAGTTATCCCTTTGCCACAAAACGTTGCCGTTTTGGGCCTTTCTTTCTCTCTCTCTCTATATGGATGATCCTATTAGCATGAAGCGGGTCCGAGATGACTCGGACGAGTTATTGCTCGAATCGTCCGAGACGAAGCGACTCAGAGAGGATCTACTCGAGTTCTTCGACGACGCCGATCACACGCCCTCCACTCAGGACCTTGACTCCGTCATGAGGAGCTTGCAGGAGGAGATTTCCGCATCTTCCTCCCCCGCATCCCTTCACGTGACGTCAGATTCCGGCGAGTCTCGGACGCAGATCGGGTACCTTCTCGAGGCTTCCGATGACGAGCTTGGGCTTCCACCGCCAGAAAACTCTTCGGTGCCGGAAGGGAAGAACGTGGAGGCTGAGTTGGTCCGGGTTTCGTCCGAGTCATCCGGAATCGGCCAGTTATGGGAGTTTGAAGATCAGATCCCGAGTTATGACTCGTTTGGGTTGGGAACCGGGTTTGGTTATGACAGCAATATTGAGTACGCTGCGTTTGATGGGCTTTTCAATCACTCGGATGTGTATTACGACTCTGCCGGTTTTTCTGAGTCGTGGCGGCACGATACCTTGCCAGAACAAGAGGGATTATGAGGTGGGGCGTCTAACGAAATTTAATTTCTCGGACATGTAAATCTCTTATTTTGCTTCGCTTTTTTTGTTCCTTTTTCCTTGAAAAAGGGAATTACAGAAGAATATATGAGTAGGACTTAATATAACATGAAGAAACTATGAATTATGAAAGATGCCGTTAACTCGTAAGGAAAATTATTCTCCGTGGTTATTTTAATCGTCAAATGTTTCTGCCTGAAAACCATTATGCAGATGGCCGTTAAAACAATGGAATTAATATTTCGTTATGTTATAGAAGTTACATCTCAACCAAATGGTGCTAGCCCGGTGAAGATCTGTCTCGAACTAATCATTAAGGGTTTTTTTACTCTTATAACTCTTTATTATTAATTAATTACTGATTTGACTTTGATTATAAACTATTTCAAAAATTTAACCCTCTAAAAAAACATAACACCAATCTGCCCCTGTTTGACTATTGACCACCAAGCCTACCCGGGTACACCCCTCTGTACTCGGGTATTTTTTGAAAAATTTTGTCTACCCGGGTAGGGAGGCATGTACCCGGGTATTGTCCTTCGCACCTGAGAAATTGCTTGAATTATTTACCCGGGTAGAGAGGGGTGTACCCGGGTAAATCTTCGACCACCCGGGTATGATTACTCTTTGGATCTCCCATGCACTCTTCTTCTCCAAGCTTTGAATATGGAGGCACCCACTATCACATGCTCCGCCTCTAACTCTTTTTTGGGTCTGTAAAGCACACAAATATTTTTCAATGATTATTTCAGAAAGGGAATTCTTAGTTAACACTATAAAAGTAGACCCCATCATAATCGATACGAACAGGGACCGCTTTGATGAGCAGTAAAGTGTTGATGTATGGAAATTCCAAATCCATTCTCAAAGATAAAAGCTCTTCAAATTGGTTAGGCATGCTTAACTTGATAATACTGATCTATCTCATGAGCTGTAAAAAAGAGAGAAAAAAATTACCATGAAACAATTAATTACACATCCGCAAATATAATTAACTTGTGGTGAAATCAAATAAATCATATCTGTTCTTATATCCATCAGCTACAAGTTGCCCCAGTTATAGCAAGTACCAAATGGGTGGTCGAAGATTTACCCGGGTACACCCCTCCCTACCCGGGTAAATAATTCAAGCAATTTCTCAGGTACGAAGAACAATACCCGGGTACACTCCTTCTTACCCGGGTAGACAAAAATTTTCAAAAAATACCCGGGTACAGAGGGGTGTACCCGGGTAGGCTTGGTGGTCAACGGTCAAACAGGGGCAGATTGGTGTTATGTTTTTTGAGGGGGTTAAATTTTTGAAATAGTTTATAATCAAGGTCAAATTGGTAATTAGTTAATAATAAAGGGTTATAAGGGTCAAAAAGCCAATCATTAAGTGATAAATCAGTTGGAGTATTTAAAAAAAAAAGAAGAAGATAAATCTGCACAAATATCAAATTATGGGAGATTTATATTTTTTCTCTTTTCTTCTTATGATCTTACTCATTTATATATGTGAAATAAATTAAAAAATATAAAAAAAAATTTCTTGAGTTATGATTAGTGTTTTAAAATCCCTCCCCACCGCGGGGTCCCCAATGGGTCACTAACCCCTTCTCTTTGAGGGTTAGGGTCAGCAGTTAGACCTTATATGCGTGTTGACCTCTCTAATCCCTAAAACCTCCGTTGAACATGTAACACCCGGATTAGAAGTGTTAAAAGGGTTCATTCAATTAAAACAAAAAAATGTTGTTTGGTGTGTAAAAAAAAAAAAAAAAAAGCCAGATCTATAACTAAATCTGAAATGTGTATCGTTCTTCATCTTCTCTCGCGATCTTCTCTCCCAGACCCCGTCTCCTTGATCTGATAATCTCCTCTGTCGTGGTGGTGGTTCCACCTATTCTCTTCGGTCCTCTCTCTCCCTCTCCTCCGTCGTGCTGATTCTTTTCTCCTCACCATTAATTCGTCGCGCCACAGCCTTTTCTCCGTCCTTCTTTCTTGGGTAAGGGATCTTATTTCACATGTTGTTATAGTTGCGTGAGAAGGATAATGAGGGTCTGGATTTTATGATATAACTTTTCATTTATACTTTGATAATTTGATACATTGATTAACTTGTGTAATATTGACTTGTGGAAGTAATTAATTGAATTATGTTAAGTATATTTTGAATATTTGAAGATTGGTGGTTTGATTTTTTGAATTTTTCATGTAGAATATATATTTATATTTTTTAAATGTATAAACTCGGGTTGAGGTGACACTGTGACCCCCCGGTGGAATCCGTGATCCCTGACCTCGGCCGAGTCGATAGAGGGCAGAGTTTTTAAACATTGGTTATGATTTTTTGATTTGTGTGTAAAGTATTTTTTAATAAATGTAAAGTCCACCCCAAGTTGAGTCACAACATGAAAAACTAATTCAAACTATATATATATATTAAAAAATTTAAAGTTACTTTACATAACTTTATATAATATTCACCAAAGTACACATTAAAAATTGTGTGGGATTCATATTTCATTTTCTCTCTCTCTCTCTCTCTTCACATGGGTCCACATGGATCCCACACACTTCTTTTCTCATGTCGCATGAAATAACATCTTTCATGTCATAGATGCAATAAGTAGTGGGGCCCACCAGTTGTTAAAAAAACAAAAAGGATAGCACAAATTTTGATGTCTCACAAATGAGAGTTATTTCCAATTACATGAGAAAATAATTTTCCATATAAATAAAGGGAAAAATATTTCTGCAGTTAATGCAGATAAGTTGTCTGCATTTATTTTCAAAACGACGTCGTTTTGGTATTGAAATCTTAAAAAATTATAAATATAAAGACTATTATAACCCTAAAATAAATTAAAATTACAAAACTACCATAATTTTCGCTCCAAAACGACGTCGTATTGAGCTTACGGCAGATTACTTATCTGCATTAACCGTAGAAAAAACAAACCCATAAATAAAAGTAAAACTTTTGTCATTTGAACCTCTCACTCAAATCCTGGCCCTCGAACGGGTGTTTTAAACTTTCGGCCATCACAAGCAAGGGAATTTTTTTTATTATTATTCGTATTTAAGTGAGAGAAAGATGAAAAAAATGAGAAAACTTTAGGTGCAACAACTGTACACCCATGCTAAAAGAAAATAAAAATGGACTTAAAAATAATTATAAAAAAAGTATGGATAGATATGGGAAAAAAATCCATTTTCAGTACAAGGGAATACCGAGTTCGGTACTCCTATATCACTAAAAAAAAATTTGAATAATAATTTTACTTTCTATTATTGTAGTGATACGGATAAAAAAAAAAAGAAGAAGAATAAGAAGAAACAAATAATAGAGCACGTATAGCTTTTTCTTTTCTCTTTCTTTTTGTCTACCTTGTTAATAGGGTCATCAAAACGGATTCGGAGGGTGGAGCGATTATTATAACTTACTCTCAAAAGAGAGACAGGGCAGACTGACTCATTTTTAGGGTGTATTGATGGTGGGGCAAGCAGGGCGGGACGAGGTGAATCAGTGTAAAACAGGTTCGGACCAGTGGCTCTACCCGTCAATCGAGGCAGGATGGGTCAAGTTTTTTAGCTCATTTTTAAAAGCAGAGCGAGCCGCCCAGTTTGCCATCTCTACTTCATAGGCGTCAAATACTAGAATAGGTCGCACGGAGTTTGACCTACTTGGCAAAAAATAATATTAATAATAATAATAATAATAATAATCAAAATTTTGTAAATAATTTATTTAATTAAACACATGAGACTGAAATTATTTTAACAAGTCTCAATTCCCGCTTAATAAGTTGGATATTTATACATAAATTACACTGTCCAAGCAACTAATGAAGTTACTAGTGAGGTCAAGGTAGATACTGTCAGAGATACAAAACTTTGCAAATTATAACTCCGTGAACTTCTTTTAGCTTCAAATTTCAATACTTCTAGAACTTCTTAGTATCGGTCCACACCATTCATTGACAGGTTAATTAACCAAGAATTTTCATGTTTTTAATACTTAGCTTAAGTATTTGTTCTCATCCAAATGGACGGGATCCCTTGGAAACTAAAAAAAAAGTATATACTTGCCCACCCGTTGAAAAGTTTAAGCTCATTAACCTGCATACAATTTTAAGCCCAAAATTTATTCAAAAATAAGTTTGTTATTATATTTGAAAGAGAAAATGTTTTTCATGTTGTATTATTTTACGCAACACATAAAAAAGTTAATGAGATCCAATAAGGAGAATAAAGAAAAAGAAAAAATAGATCTCACTCACTTTTTGTGTGTGCACATAAAATAAAATTATCTCGTATAATATAAAAGACATATTTTCCATATTTAAATACCTTATTAGAAAATAGGCCTTAAAGTAGTTTTAGATTTTTAAAAAGGGTAAAGTGTGTGTCATTTTTTTTTTTTTTTGATAACAAGTGTGTGTCATTTTAAAAGATGTAAAGTTGTGTCATTTTAAGAGAGAGAAAGAGATAGATAAAGAAGAAGAGAGAGTTGACAAAAAAAATAAAGGTGTGAAAATATATAAGTTATGTCATTTAAAAGAATAAACACTTTTACTTTTAAAAATTCCTTAGCAAAAAAAGGTCTTTATTAAGTTAGCAGATCAGGCTTGAGCTTTAATCTTTAAAAACAAGCCAGCTCCATTTCACATAAAGCCTAGTCAGCCCCCCTATGTCACTCTCTCACTGAATCGTAATGCTTCTCTTTGGGCTCACAATATATGAAAGATCCGTAGGGCTCTTTTTGTTGTTCTTTCACAAATATATCCAGTTGGTAAGATGATTTATCGGCGCTAAACTCTATGTTAAGACTTTCTTTTTGTTTTTGGAGAGTACTCTATGTTAAGATTTAGGGTCCGTTTGAAATGAGTTTTTTTTTCTTGAAAAAAAGTACTTTTCAGTTTTTTTTTTTTTTTTTTTTTATAACAAGTATTTTTCAGTTTTAGTTCATTTAGATGTCTGCTTTTTAAAAAGGCCTAAATCACAAAAAAAGTCAAAAATCTACTTTTTCCATAAGCTAAAAATTTTAACTTCTAAAAAAAAGCAGAAGTCAAAAGCCAAATATTTTTTTCAAAAACTAAATATTTTAATAAAAATATAAATAGCTTTAACTTTTGTAAAAAAGACTTCTAAAATAAAGAAGAGATGAAAGTTACTTTTTTAAAAGAGAAAACAAATGGGCTCTTAATTCAACAATTAAAAGCACTATTACATATATATGTTATAGACATCTTTTTTGGACCTGGTGTTGGGTATAGAAATTATGGGAAAAATG